CTGACTTAAGGAAATTAAATTGAAGGGACAGTTAGGGACAAAAATGACAGATTTTAGATTTAAGGAGGGAGACATGATGACTTGACCAACTCCCTTTGAGGAAGTTTTAAAGTCATTTGCAAGGGTTATAAAATGAGGTTTGTCTTGAAATGAAATTGTTGAGAGCAAGGAGGTATTATCAAAGATATGGTCAGAAGTACCGGAATCAATTACCCATGAATTGTGACTTTCCATAGATTGAGAGATACAAGTTGTTAATGTACTTGAAGCTTGAGATGGTTGTGCCAAGCTGTTGGACTTGAGTCGTAGGTACTCTTGATACTCGTCCTCAGTGAACTTGGGTTCAGTCGTTTCAGCCTGAGAGACATTGACTGTTTTGGAAGGAAAACCATGTAAGGAGTAACAGTTTTCCTGGGTTTGACCCATCCTTTTGCAATATGTGCATTGAGGACGCCCACGACCACTACGTCCGCCTCCTCTAGTTTCACGTCCTCCTGTTCCTCGAGTGGTGGACCATAATAGATAGTTCTACTAGAGCAGGAGTTTCTAGAGTTCTATGTGTTGGAACACGAACCATGCGTTGGATCAAGGTGTCCATGGAAGGGACTTCATGAGAGATCAAAAGCTAAGCTGGTCTCTGATATGGTTGAAGTCTAGATGTATAGCATGAATAATCATCACCATATAGTATTTGTCAAACTTCTTCTTCATTTCATCTGAAGCATCGACCTCTAAGAACATTCGCAAGTCTTCTACAGCTGATTGTGCTTCATTCATGAAGGAGATCATATCATGGTTGATAATTTTCAGAGATGCCAGCTTGTTTGCCGAATCATAAAGGTGTTGGATATCATTGACATATATGTTTTGAGTTCTCTTCCAAAAAGAGTGATATGTCTTGAAGGCCCTAAGAGACATTAAAAGTCTTGGCTCCACAGATTGTCATAACAGGGCACACAACTAAAAATCTATTTGCTTCCACTGTTCAACTTTTTCTTCAGGCACATGACTTCCGTATTTCTCAAGATTGTCATGATGTGATTGGCCAATGAACCATATCTCGACGACAGCGGAGCAAGAAAGATAATTTTGTCCTTTTAGCTTCTCGAAAGTAATGGAAGAACTTCTATAAAATGAAATAGCACTTCTAGTTGCCATTTTTGATCAAGAGGACAAAAAAAGAAACAGAGAGCAGATACGTGGAAATAACGAAGATTTTTAAAAGCCTTAGGGAGATGGAGCACCTGTCGACGTGTCGTGAGGAGTCTCCCTTCAACACCGACAGGGTTGGCTGTCGCTCAGAGAGGCGGTCTAGACCCGGTGGTTTCCGGATGAAACTACGGTGGTAGACAGCGATAGATAGTTGCTTGACAGTGTTGGACAGTCCAACAGAGCAGAAGATAGCTTCAGATAGTGATGAAACTGAGCTTGGACGACAGCGAACAACGGTGACTAATGGTGAATAGCTGCGGACAACGGTAATTGATGGTGGTGGACAAGACCAGAGCTAGATCGACCCACTCTGATATCAACTTAAGATTAATAAAGAAAAAACATATATCTTCAGGGCTTATGGGACCCTTCTCTCTTTCTTCTATTTATAATGGAAATATGATATAATGAGATATAGAAAACTAAATAAGAGTTTGCAACTAGGACCCCAAGTGTTGATTTAGATATTTAGATACAGCTGTAGCTGTAGGAGGTTTCTCACACTCAACACCGTATACTTAGGTCTAATAATAGTACTAGGAAGTAATGATTCTAACAATTATTTTCAATCATCTTATTCTTTTTAAAACTATTTTCATCTGTTTCTTTTTTTTTCCAGTGTTTGCTTCCTAATCTTTATCATTTATACGTGAAATTCCATTACAGATGGATTATCTTCATTTATATCACTGTCCTCTTCATTATCGTTGATATCAATATAAAGAAATTATAAATATATATATATATATATATATATATATATAATTATAATAAAATGTCACTTGATTTTTTTTTTATTTTTTATTTTATAAAACTCTACCAATGACTCCCATATCTGACATTGCAACGAGAGTCAATTCAATAAAGTAAATACTATGAAAGTAACGCCCATATCTATATCTAGATGTTAATAATGCACAAATAAATCAAAGATAATAGGAGGGACATATCGTTGAATCTTTGTCAAATAGTTTTTTCGATGAATATCTTTTATTTCATAATGTATTAACTTAAAAATAAAATCAAAATAATATAATCGATAGTTAATCTCACTGGTTAATAAAAGAAGTTTAATATTTTTTTGTACAAAATATATAAATTAATATATCATGCATAATTCAAGGATAGAAAATAACTTTTGAGAATTTCTGTAAGAAAAAATTAACACTTCAAAATTGTATTTTTAAGTAAAATATATTTAAAAAACCACATGTCATGTACTAAGAAATTGATCTTAAACTAATATTTTGGCGTAAGATTTTCTTTGATTTTATATTTTATTTAATAGAACTAAATTCCATACCATTTGCATTAACACTTTAAAATAAATGTAGATGTAAAAAGTGATCTCTTTGCATCAAACATGTTTAGTACCTGTGAAAATAATCCTAAAATACAAATATTTAATAAATAATTTATTTGATGTAGAAAAAGATTTGTTATTAATGCAGACACTTATTTCCTTAAAAATATCTTGATAAAAACGGATAACATACATTGTCCTTCTCAATATCATTTTCCATACGTTATGGAATATTGGGCACACAGGGGTAGCATTTTTAGTGTGTGATTAATATATTATGATAAGGAAAAGTGGGTTCCACCCACCTGGGTTTTAATTAATTCTGTACCCTGACACTTGGCGGCTAAAGTTTAGCTGCACTATATTCATTTCCTCTAATGCTTTCCTGAAAATTCATTCCTCTTGGGCCTACTGTTTATTGCAATTAATGGGCCCTACAACTGTCTATTAATTTATTGTTTGGGCCCTCTTGTTTCTACCCTCTTTCTTCCCCTTTACACTTTATTACTACAATATTTAATGTTTAGGTCGTTGTTAGTTTAAATTAGGCATGTCAAATGTCCGTCTAGTCATATAAAATATATGATATGTTATGACTTATATTTTATAATAAAATATATTTTTACTCTAATTTATATTAATTTTAATTCAAAAAATATATTAATATTATTTATATCAAAATAATTGATTAAAAATAACTTTTTTAAAATTTAAGTCATATTAATGATTTTTTTTCATAGTATAAACAAAAAATTATTTACTATTAAAATAAGAATTAAAAACTTATTTATTATTATTATTATTTTTATTTAGTAATCTAGTTATTTAAAATAATAATTCATTGAAGTAAGTGCATATTATATATTTATTTTTATATTTATTATTAGAATAATGAAATTTTTATCAAATTTAATTTATAATAAATATATATTTTTAATAAAATAATATTATTTTTAATAAAATAATATTATTTTTAATTTATTTTAAAATAATTATTTAATTTATAAACAAATTAAGTCATAAGCTTCCCTGATTACCTAATTTAATTGTCATCACAGTTTTTTTTTACCTAATCTAACTTAACTTTTTTTTTTTTGCATCAAATCAAATATATTTTGTCACTTCTGTTTAGACATTCTAAATCAATTTATTTTATAAATTTTAAAATACGAGACATCATAAAAATATGTATTCAGTATTTATCACAAATAATTATTAGTAGGAAATATATATAAAAAAAACAGAATACATAAAACTTAATTATTAAAATGTTATCTCTAAGAACATGTAGTACATATTTTTTAAGAAAATATTTTTTTAATTAGAAACATAAACATAATATAAAATATATAATTTAAACAAGTTTATGTGTTTCACGAGTTTAAAACATAATATAGAATTTATAGTGAAGTAAGTATTCTACCAATAGGGATTACGTGTCCGACAAAAAATGCGTGATATTACATATCTGTAATCTAGGGATACGGTTGATTTTCACAAGAATATTAAAATAAAGTTGTTTACAAGAGTGATATGGATTTGGGTTGTGAAAGTATCATTTTCCTTTTCACAAATCAAATCTTATTTTTTATTTTTGTTTAATATTTGTTCAATAAACCTAAAATATACAATCTTGGTATGATTTCGTGAGAGAATTACTTCATACTAAATAGAGATTTAGTATGTGTAATGTTTACCTCACAAAATGGAGAAAAACTGGTTAAGGGTTTTGCAATAGAATGAAAACGGAACACTAATTCTCCTACTTTGACGTATATCCACTATCCTTTGCAAAATCCATTTCTCCATTGTTTCTCTTCACTTTTCTTACGTGATTTTGCATGTGCATGGTTTTCAGAAGACTCCATGCATGACGAGGGTATACCCAGCACACCGTTTGCTACAAGCCTCCAATGGATGGCAACAACACTTCAATACTTCTCGGATTCTACAAGAAAATTTTGTTAATCTAACTCTGAAAAATTCCACAATTTCTTTACCCATTTTGTGTCATTCAGCAGGACATTTTCACTCTATTGGCGTGTTTTATGGTGACCAACCTTTATCTCACGCCTTCTCTCTCATAATGCTCAATCTCCTTTTCATCAACATCATCACTCGTTTTCTCGGTGTTCTTCTTAAGCCCCTCAGACAACCTTTTATCATATCTCAGATAATAGTGAGCTTCCTTTTGTTACATTTATCATGTTGTTGTATCTGCCTGCGCTCTTTCTATCGTTTTATAAAGAACACATTCAAGGAAAAAAAAAAAAGATGTGGTAAGAGGGTTTATAGAGTTATTGTTTCTATTAACATCAAATTGTGTTTATATAACACCTTGTGTGGCATTGCGGTGTACCATCTAATCGAATACTGATAAATTTTCATTTATATTTGCAAGGGTGGTATTATTATTGGACCTTCCTTTTTGGGGCGCACTAAATGGTACCAACGACACATGGCAACTGAGTCATCCCAATTCCTAATGAACAATCTTGGAATAATGGGATTCATGTTCTTTCTATTCATTTATGGTGTGAAGATGGATCCGTCTCTTTTGAAAAAATCAGGGAAACTGCATTTATCTACTGCATTGGTTGGCATTACAATTCCCACAGTAACAGTGTTTACTGTGGGACTGTGCTTGAGAGAGAACATGGACAAAGATTTGGCCAGGGTTCCTTCAATAGGAGTATTAGCGGGGTACTTGGGGATCACAGCATTCCCTGTTCTCTACCATATCCTCAAAGAGTTTAACCTTCTAAATTCAGAAGCGGGGCGAATTGCATTAGCCTCAGCATTAATTGGTGACGCAATTGGTTTGTTTTCTGTCGTAGCGTTTGAGGCATTAGGTCATGGAGAAACAAAGATGATACATGCCCTGTGGTATATGATTTCTCTTGTGCTCATGGTAATATTCCTTGTGTTTTGTGTTAGACCTGCAATGATGTGGATCAATAGCAATACTCCTGAAGGGCACCCTGTGCAACAATCATTTGTAGTTGCCATTCTTCTAGGGGTTTTAATCATGGGTTTCATAACTGACATGTGTGGAATGGCAATTACTAATGGATCATTGTTTTTAGGCTTGGCAATTCCAGATGGACCCCACGTGGGAGCAACACTTGTAGAGAAGACCACAACAATTATGACTGATTTCCTTCTACCATTCTCATTCATTTTGGTGGGATCACACACTGATTTTTATGCTATGAGTGCTTCTGGTTGGTCCACCTTATCACCATTGTTTATCATGGTTTTTATTGGCTACATGTTCAAATTCTTTTGCACTTGGGTTACTTTACATTTGTGGCGAATGCCATTCAGGGATGGACTAACCATCAGCCTCATTATGAGCTTAAGAGGACACATTGAACTTCTATTGTTTCTGCAATGGATGGACAAAAAGGTAAGCTGGTTTAACATTTACATTTACAAAATAAAAATAAAAATAAAAATGTAACCAATAGTCAAATGTGAGATAAAAAGAATGTGTTAGATAATGGGTTGTTAGTGTGTATTACAATACTATCTTTTCTTTTTACTTCAATGACATAAAACTATACACCTCTAGTACAAAGATTTTATCTAATTGTTGTCGTTACAGATCTTAAAGGTGCCAGGCTTCACACTATTGGTTCTTATGACAACAATATTGACAGCAACTTTCTCTCCTTTGATCTCTCTATTGTATGATCCAACAAAGCCATACATGTTGAACCAAAGGAGGAACATTCAACACAACCATCCTGACACCGAGCTCAGATTAGTGTTATGCATTTTTGATACTGACTCCATAAATGGTCTGATAAAACTACTTGATATCTCCAATCCAACCCTAAACAGCCCCTTTTCAATTTCAGTTGTTAGACTCAGTGAGCGTGTAGGTCGAACCAGCCCTTTGTTCATAGACCATGAAAAGCAAAAAGTGCCTTCCATCTATCAATGGTCGAACACCATAAACATCCTTAAACATTATCAACAACTTAAAGGAACGGTCATGAAGCTTCATTTCTTCACAGCTGTGGCCCCAAAACAGTCGTTGTTCCAAGATATATGTGAGCTTGCTCTAGAAGAAGAAGCTTCTTTAATCATCTTACCTCATGCCCATAAACATGCAGTTAAAACAGTGAATTCACATGTCTTGAACACTGCACCTTGCTCAGTTGCAATTTTTGTTGACAAGGGTCTTCTTAAAACCAACACCTCCGAATGCAGTTCTTTTCGTCGATCTAAATATCGATTTGCCTTATTGTTTCTCGGGGGTGGAGATTCCAGAGAGGCTCTTGCTTATGCAGATAGGATTATTGATCACCATGATGAGGTGTCTCTCACAGTTATAAGGTTTCTCTCTCATAACTGCATAGGGTACAATGAAATCGAGAAAAAGCTTGATGATGGAATTGTGACCTGGTTTTGGGTTAAGAATGAGATTAATCATAGAGTGGTGTATAGAGAAGTGGTTGTTAAAAATGGAGAAGAAACAATTGGAGCAATTCAATCTATGAATGATGGTGCTTTTGATCTTTTGATAGTGGGAAGGAAACAAGGAATAAACCCTGTTCTTCTCACTGGATTATCAGAATGGAGTGAAAGTGAAGATTTGGGACTCGTAGGAGATTATGTTTCCTCCAAAGATTTTTTTGGCTCAGCTTCTGTTTTAGTTTTTCAACAACAAATCCTAAGAGGCTAAAATTAGGATTCAACAAAAATAGATAGCTAAATTAACTAAATTACGTGTGAATATCAGCAACTAGCATTTAGATGAAGACCAAATTTTAGTGTTCTTTAGAGAAGAATAGATAATGTGACAGGTTCCTGTACAGCTAAGTTACGCATCTCTAACTTCATAATCATAGGTAAACAGATCAAATGGAAAGAGAAAAAAACTCATTCTTTTTATCTAGTTACAAGTTAATGTTCGCTGTCTTATTACACATTCAAAACTAAAGAAAATGTTATCATAAATTTCTTAACCATTGATTAATATATTTTTATGTGAAAATTGTCAATTTGTTCATTTTAGTGGAACCTTTTCTTACTTTTACAAATAGAACACATGTTTCTTTATATAAGAAGAATGTGAAACTACCTTTCTGCATTATCTGCAACCACTTCGATTTATCTCTTAAATTCAAATAAAAGTATCTCATTACTTACAATGATTCGTGATTATCTTTAAATTTAAATAATAACTTTTTGTTGCATAACTGTATTATATATCTTTCTATGTTTATGTAATAGATCCTCTATCTTTCTTTCTGTCTATATATTATATATGTATATATGATATCAAAGCCATGGAAATAATATTGTTATGCAATATAAAACTTGTTATTTGAATTTAAAGATAAATAAACCAAAGTGGTTGTAGATAATAAAAGATTTACATATAGTTCCAACTGTGTCTATGAATTTAATGCATATACAGAATAAGATGATGATATTAACTCCTCAACAATCCTGTCATGATGAAATTTATGTTGTTGAGTCCTCAACACTTTTATTTGTTTGAACTATAACTTCACACTTATCAAACTTTTGTATTTGTATATGTTTTATAATTTCTTGGTTTTTCAGAGTCATCATATTGCACACATTTTTTTTTTCTTTTTTGTGTTTTGTTAAGCTTGAGGAGACTTGTATTAATAAGTATTTAGATTTAGAAATCTTAGAATGAGATTAGAGATTGTTGTAAGACTTGAAAAATGTGTTAAAATACTTGTTTATGTTTCACGAATATCTTACTAGAAAATACAGACTGAATACGGTCTCAAATTGGAGTTCTTTTTTCTCACTCACTTTTCAAATATAATGAATATCTTTATACTTACACTTAATTATATCTATTTTTGAAAACAAATAAAAAAATAATACTTAAATACAATTTGATTTTTCTTTTTATGTAGCATATTTTTTCATAATTAAGTCATAAATCTTGCCTAAAATTAAATAGATAAGTAGTTTTTTTATCTAATTATGAGCTAATACAATTTTTTAGAGTATCTATATTTTATGATTAAAAATAAATAATCACTTAACAAATTACATAAAGATTTCTATAAATAGATAAATTACTTAAATCAATAAATAGCTATTACTTACATATTTAGTAAGTAATTATCTAAAAAATTATTATTTATGAATAAAAATTTATATAAAATTAATTATGCTTATATTTCATCTGAATTTTTCTGGATATAAAATTTATAATTAATGTTAAATTATTTATGAATTATTATCTATAAATTCTTATCACAGGTAAAGATTATTTTTAGCGTATTAAATTAATGTGAGATATTTGTACTATATTATAAATTTTTGTTTAAAGATTTGCTTGTTCATTTTTTCTAAATAAATTTAAACTTTCTAATTTTTAAAAATAAAAAATTAACTGTTTTATAAAAATAGTTTTCAAAAATTGATAAATTTTTTTCTTAATTTTCTATTTTTATTAATGATCTCAATCTCTTTATCAATAATAATAATAATAATAATAATAATAATAATAATTATTATTATTATTATTATTATTATTATCATAAATTTTTTATGATAATATTATTATTGAAAAATCGTTTCTCAATTTTTATTATAATTTTTTTATCATCATTAATATAATATTTTTTTAAAAATAGATTTTAAATTCAAACATGTTTTCTTACTTACCTAAAAAAAAATGAATAATATATTTTATCCCTCAAATACTATTATTTTCCTTATATTATTATTATTATTATTATTATTATTATTATTATTATTATTATTATTATGTTAATAAGATATAAGATTTCAAGATGTTATAGTAGTTCTGACTTTTAGATTTTATTTTTTATGTAAATTTGGTAAGTCTTACAATAATTTTTAATTAATATTTTTAAAACATAAACTAATTAAATTTGAAGTATTGAAAAATTTAAATATTTTATATCATATTAATGAATAATAAGAATAACAAAATTATTTTTTTAAAAGTGGTAATACACAAAATAAAAAAAATAAAGTATAAATTTGAATTTTTTTATTAAAATATATTTAAAAATTTTATAAGAAATAAAAATAAGATTTTAAATAACGTTGATTTAAAGTTATTTAAAAAGTCTAAAATTAAACATAAAAATATTAATACCAACAAAATTAAGATTAAAAGGTTTTTTTTTTTCATCTTCTCCTTTCCCCTCGCCCCCATGGACGTCACTTTTTCTTCTTTCTCATTTTTCTACATCCCCTTTGCTCTTCCTCTCTAGAAAACGCGTCAAGGTTAAGGGTGTGTTTGGGTGTCGCGTTTTAGTTGGTCACTCTACTGCGTTAGAAATGGAGGACGACGGTTCCAGCTCGATCCGCCGCATGTCAAGTCGAACGCGAAAAGTTGCGTCCAAAATGGCCGCCGCACTTGCCAGTGCCGACAACCGCACTCAGGCAGCTATCTTCGCTCAATTTCCTTCCGTTTCTTAATTTTATTTAAGAAAATAATATTATTTGAACTTAACATTGAACGGTGAATCTGATAGAAGCGCGTTTTTGTTACAATTCAATTCAGGCGGCACTTGCGCGCTTGGATGCTCTGGAGAATGACAATGCAGGTTTTGAAACCGCAGATGCCAATAACGATGACGACGAAGCTTCTTTAGACGAAGACGATCAATGTTAGGGTTTGTCTGCTTTTTTCCCTTTCGTTTCATGATTTTACTGGGAAAACGTCATTTTAGTTAAAGTGTAAAATGCTTGAAACCAGGAAATTTAAAAATAAGTCTCTAAACTGAATGTAATGTTTGTCTTTCAACATAGCTTACTATGATTCCTTACGATAAATGACTTTTTGAATTTTCTACTAAATTGATCAATAGATTACACTTTCAGCAATTTCTTTTGAATTTTCTTACTTTCAAGGAATATTATCACACGCGATATATTTCTTTCAGTGTTAATTTATTGTAGATGCTCATTTAGTTATTAAAATTGTGATTTGTTTGTAACTTTACTCCTCTGATCTGATTTAACGAAATTCAAAAAATGCCTCTGAAATTGGAAATCTTTCATCTGTGTCCCTAATTTAACCCATTTTGGTCCTTGAAGGCTTGAAAGCATGTTAATATTATTACTGATGTCTATATATAACCTTTTGGACTGAAATAAGTGACAAGTTACAATTTCTGACGCTATTTGTGAATTTGGTTAATTGTAGGGACTAAAGTAACAATGAATAATAAATTAAGGGACTAAATTGATCATTTATTTGCTAATTTTAACTTGTGTCATTTTATTGACACCCCTGCATTTACGTCAAATATCTGCTGATAACCTTTTCTTTTTCACGTATCTAAATAAAATGGACATGTGTTAGAGGTTCATGTTAACCGAAGAGATGCACAAATCTTTCAAATTAAGGTTTGGGGTATGTGTATCTTATAAATGGACCCAGGTTTCCTTCTACAGACTTACATGCATTCATGCAGTCGGAAGAATGTAACTGTTGGGGGTGTACATCACTGGAAGCAGATTTAAAACATCCATTCAAGATCTGAGTCATGCAATCTTCATCTAATTGTTACAATGTACTGATTGCTTGAATGAGTGTAAATGCCAATAGTGATTCCATTTCCTGAATTAAGGAGTTTTGTATAGAGTAAGAAGGGGTGCTGAGTGCAGTTTGATTTAATTCAGGGAGTGAAGTGGAAGTATATTTTGTTCTAAATTTTTAAAGATCCTTTTGTAAAATTTTCATTTTTCTAAAAATGTTATAAAAATTATGTAAATATTTTAAAAATTATTTGATTATTATAAAAATTTAAAATCCATTTATTTTTTTTTTTTTTTTTTTTGCAGTTTATGTACAGAAAAAGCAGTCTAAGGGCACCAAAAGGAAAACCAGGCAGGCAAAAGCACTTGAAGCCAGGAGGACCCCGAGAACATTCCTTGAGCTCTTACATGAGGTCAGTGATTACATCACTACAGGTCATACACACAAGTAACACTCATGTTTTACTTTTGCCTTGGTTTTTGTTTTTGTTTTTGTTAACCCACCTCCTGTCATGTGCAGGCTAACATAGAGTCATTGCCTCCTCATGTGCCCTCCTATTGGAAAGCAGCAGTTGGACCTCCAAGCTCAACCTCCCGTCGCCACTTTTGTACTGTTTGTGGTTTTTCTGCCAATTACACTTGTGTGAGATGTGGTATGCGCTTTTGTTCCTATAGATGTCAAAATGTGCACAATGATACTCGTTGCTTGAAGTTTGTAGCCTGATTCATAGCCCACAAAAAATGTGCGCAAGAATATTATTGGACACACACTACTGTATCTTGTTATATATCAGTGTAAAAGCAAGCTCTTTGCTCAATTTTCCTCTTTTGTTGCCCTTTTGAGACTAGTGGTTCAATTATTCAGTCACAAGGTGCTAGATGAAACTGTATATTCTGACCCCTATTGGATCCTGTTGATCTATGTTACCCAGTTAAAGATGTCCTTCATAGTTATTAGAATTTTCTGATTCTTGGTTCAAATCTTATAATTTGACGTTATTTGTTTACCAATCAACTTGGATCATAAGATGTAACATTGATTCGAATGACATGATTCAACAGTTTGTCATTTTTTCTTATACCTCTTTCACCAATTCTGGAGAAAAAAATTGAATGAGCACTTTTGAACATATTATCTTATTTGATTATTCTACTATGTCAGTTGTCTTTCAATGCATGCACTCTATTTGACTATTTCATTGCTCCATTTTCATTCTTTTAGAATAAAGGCTTCACAACTCATAATTAATATTTTTCTTTATTAGACAAATGATGGATAAGTTCTTTTATTTATTTCTAGTTTCAAATTATTACATTGAACAATCTTTATGACATATTTGAAGTAATTTTTCATTGTTTATGAATCTTATGATTCAAACTTTAGCTTGGCGATTCACAAATTGAATCTTGATTTAATAATCTTGATGTCCATAGTTGCAATTACTTCAGTTATCATTTAGATCATCTTTATTATGCCACGGTGATTATTATGCTTTAATTTGCTTATGGAGCATCCCTTTTTTAATGAGTTTGTTTGCATGTCTTTGATTAGACTAGCTCCAAGAATCTTACTTCCTAAAGCTTGCGGTTAAGTTCTTCAGTTTCTTATTATTACCCAAGAACATTATAACATGACAGTTGATAGATGCTGTGGATTTAGGCAATCCTAGAGGTTCAATCATTTCTTTGGATGTTAGGCATCAACATCACATTCTTGTTCATTGTGACCTACTAAAAATTACATGTACCCTGTTTTAAATTACCTAGGCTTCTTCGCACAAAATAGAGCATCTGCACATTGCAATAGGTAGACAATTCTTCCACTGAAGGAACATATGAAGTTGGTTTCTGGTACTGAAATATTTTTCCAATCAACTGGTAAGAATAATGTAGTTTTTCTCACTGAAATATTAAACTGGTAATAGTAATGATAAGAAATCATTTAAATTTTATTTTTCTTAATATAGGGTACAATGCCATCTAATCAACATACCGTGCAAACATACAGCTCAATTAAGCTTAATCTCATTCTGGTATAGGAACTGCAGAAAGCCATAATATCTGTTTGGCAAATTCTTGAACTTGTAATACAGAACAATAAATAATGATGCTTTCTTAACCCTAACATTGGGGTAGATCTGGCGGTGGAGGTATTACTGACTGTGAAAGGCCAACTCCATTTTCTACCAGAAGTGCCATTCCCAAACCCCAATTCAGATGTGAGTCTATGTGGCAATGGATGAACCAAATTCCTGATTTGCAGTAGTGAAAGAAAACCATGGAACAGATTAATGTGTGATCCTAATACAAACTGCAGAAGACAAAGTTTTACAATAGTTTAATACATTACCTGGATTGTCAGCCACAAAACGAATGGCCACCCATCCTCCAGGAGGTGTTCCAATGGTGTTCCTCACAGGTGGGTCTACAAGGTTGAACTTGAGTGGATCAATTGCTGGGTTGAAGTTGCCAAAACCGGATCCGACTACAAAGAAGTGGAACCCATGAACATGCATAGGGTGTTCCTCAGTGGTGACTATGCTTGTGTCTTGCAAAACAATTTGCACCCTAGAGCCATATTTCACCTTGTAGAGCTTAGTTCCCTGAGATGGTGTCCATAACCCCCGTGGCACATTCCCAGTATAATCAAATTGTAAAGAGGGGACAGGGGGAAAGTCTGTGGTGAAGACACCTGGTATTTCTTCATAGTATGCTTGCATTAAGGAGGTGGTTCTTGGGAGTACAAATGATACATTGTTCATGCTGGCTGTGAAGCGGGTTCCATTTGGTCCTTGACACTGGGGACTATTAGGATTTGTGCAATTGATTAATCCCAACCCCACTATGAAAAATAGATTCACATCAACTTTCGTAAAGACTTTAACGCGGGTAAGACCTCTAATCCTAGCAGTAAATGCAGTTGCAGTGGCAGTATCATTGAAGGCCGGCAAAGGTGGCAAGACTGGTCTTGGTATGTTTTGGCTACGTCGTCTAGTAGATCTGTATTCTAGGATTGCAGTGGTGGTAGTATTGTCAAATGGAGCATTCATGGCAGATTCATAAGCATGTGCTGCCATGTAGTAGAGACCTTGGGGTTGATCAGCAGTGACTAGGACATTGAATGTTTGACCAGGTCCTATCATGAGGACTGTGGTTCTAAAGGGCTTGGTATATGTTGCATCCGTACCAACAACAGTCATAGTGTGGTTGGCAATGGAGAAGAAAAGTTCTTGATTGAGTGTACTGCTAATGATTCTCAACATAATTGTCTCCCCTGCATCTACTGGAACACGGACAGTTCCTGCATTTTATGTTCATTACATCAACGAATATGGAACATCTCTCAAAGTAGAACTGTTTTGAGGTAGTAAACTTATTGGACTATCCTTTCCTTTTAAGAGTTTATTATTATAAAATATACTTTAAAGGTTCAGAAATCTTCCATTTGAAAATAAATTATTAATCATTCTAATATCCTTTTCAACCGTTACGGCATGCAGGCACACACTGAGAAATAATTTCACACCTTGGCTTGAGCACCTGTAAAGATCACCAGGTTGCCCATTAATGGTGTATGCAACAGATGAATTTGGAGGTAATCCTGTAAAGTCTGTCTGCCTCTGGAGAAGCACAAGATCCGTGTCAAACCATTCCCCTGTGGAATCGTCATAACAAAACTGTCACGACACTATGAATGAGAATCTCATTCGCATTTTTTAATGTTCTGTTCCTGTGAGGTAAAGTTTGTTCACAGTGGGAGGAGATACATTCCATAAGTGAATTGAGCAGAATAAATAATTGAAAGATAATTTTAGAGATGTACCAAGAAGGAGAGGAAATTCTTGTTTAGGCGTAGAGAAGGGATAAGGAGAACCCAATCTGGGATAGATGATGAAAGCTCCATAAACAGTGGCTCTTAGGAAGCCAGTGTGAGCATGCCACCATAGTGTCCCTTCCTGATCTCTGATTCTAAATCGGTATGTGTAACTTCCCCCTGGTTGGATGGGACACTGAGTCACATAACTCGGTCCATCTGCCCATGGATTTCGCAGCATCCTTAACCCATGCCTGATGCACATAACCAATGATCACTTCGTGAGGAAGCTAAATTTCACGCATCAGTATCACAATAAATTGCTACATGGACCAAGTATGTAAGCATAGTATAGTGATTTATGGGCCAACTATGTATGATTAGATTAGTCTGGGAAAAAGTTCTGACTGAAGAGTATGATATTTAAGCATGAAATCCATGTGAAAGTGAAAGATGATGCTATTTACCAGTGGATGGAGATGTTGTACTGTGCTGCATTTACTACTTTGATTATCATAAAGTCCCCGTTTCTAGCTTCCACTGTTGGCCCTGGGAACTGCCCATTGACAGTGATTATGTTTTGGGTTTTGCATAGCCTCCTCACTGGCCTAGCTTGAACCTATTTCAATCAAATTTTTGATGGAATGATTATTACTAACTGCCTCTAACCATATGGGAGAAATGTAGTGAATAGTATATGATATAACTAAATCAGCACTTACAACAAATTCATGGAAATGTATCTCTGTAGCTGAAGCAATGAGAGCGAGCAGGCCTACTAAGAACCAAGAACAACATAACTTACCAGGGAGGTGGAAAGTCTTCATTGTTGTTCTGGTTTTGTTTAATGGTTTGGGCTGGGGGAGATTTGTTTTAAAATGCAGCTATTTCTAGACTTATAAATAGGGAAATGCTTGGAAAGAGAAACACTTCTGCGAGTCATTTTATTTTAGTCAACAAGGTACTTAATATTGAATAATTAGTCTTACAAAGTAGCGGACATGCATGGTGCACAAGAGTAGAAATACATCTTCTGATTTAACAAATTTCCTCTGGAATTTCTTGTTAAGATACTAGCAATCTTCTTCTAGGTAGGCCATCAAACTATGTTAAGGGAAATGATGATAAAAAAATAGAATAATTAGACCCAACCAAACTAATATTTGCTTTTTGCTTTGGAATGCTACAGAATTACCCTTCTTAAAATAACATTCCAATAATCAAGAGTTTAGGAGTAAACATAATTCGAAGTTGTAATTATCGTTTAACTGCCTTCCTTAATTATTACTAGTAAGCTAGAAAAAGTTAATAATTTTCAATTTTCATCCCTCCTACTTCCATTCCCTAATTACTGAGCATAGCATTATTCTTTTGGTCAAAACCATCGGCTTGAGTCGCAATTTGCTAGATTCGCTGTTATTTACTCTGTTCTGTGTTTGGGGGAGCATGAATGTTCATCTCCAACGAAGCATTTGCATCTAGCAAATAGATCAAACCAAACCACTGCTCAAAGAAGCATTCTGCAACATTTCCAAAGAAAAAATATCATCACGTGAAGCGTGAGTTTTTCATAGCATATCAACCTGAGAGTCTCCATTTCCTTTATTCTGACAGTGACACAAGGTAATAACTCAGGGAAAAACAAGAACTAAGAAGATAGATAATAATAATAATAATAGGGCAATTAAGATGAGGTTGAATTTTGAATTGTTGGGTGGGTATGAATTCTTTCTACGGTTTATGTGCACACAGTGCCTATTTTAATATAAACGAAAGTTGCAGTGATGGGTACTCGTTTTCCCCATTTGGCATGGGTGATTCCAACAACGAAGTAGCAAGTGTCTATATCATCTCATGCCATAATTTAAACAATTCATACCACTTTTTGTCTAATTTGAAAGTGGTACTAACACCTTCACTCCTTCAAATTACAAAAACAAAGCTTCATTTCATAGAATGAGAATTCCAAAAGTTTGGTGGCTTGGCCTCACGTTTCCATGTGTTTTCTAGTTTAATATGTTTTGGATAACTATTGTTACAAAGTTAGTGATTTTTGTCCATAACAAATTTCTATGGAAAATTCAACTGATTCACCTTTAATAGATTTTCTACTCCCAACCACATTTTTGTTACGCCACCAAACTTTAAGACATTGTTTTAGAAATTCTAGTTCAGTCCAATCGAAATAGCAACTTTCCTGTTCTGAGTTAGATAAAGTGAAAAGAGTTTTTTTATAATGTTTGTTAATAAAAGCATTGAAAACAATATCATTATATCTCTAATTTAATAATTTTTAAAATGTTAGCTGCATTTACAACTTACAAAGGTAAATGTGAAATAATTTGTCCAAACTAATAAATGTTTATAGATTTTTTTGACATAATATTTTGAATCTAATGGAGTTTCACTTGTTTTTGTAAATTGAACTAATTTATATAGCTTTTTTATGTAAATTCATATTACTTCCTAATAGCATATATATAATATGCATAATGTAACATGTTACTTGCATAATTTCCTTCTCAGTCTTCATATGTTATGTTAAAACAAAATTTGGTGAATTTTTATTTACATTTGATAGCTATTTTAATAAGCGAATAAATACAAATTCGACACGAGTCAATATACTTGTTCAGCTATAAAACAAAGACACACAATTAGTAACTATTAAATATGCATTTTCACTATTTTCTTCAACCAAATAAGTTATTGCTCAAGCGTCAACCAATCGAGGCACTAATTAGTTTGGTTAGTACATCTCTTTCACATATCATATTTCAAATGAGGCAGCCTCATAAATTTAATTTCCATGTTTCTAATGCAAACGGTATTTGCAAACGGATTTACACTTAATGCTGCCATATCATTTTTACTTATAATAATTTATGATTTATTCAGTATGTAAATTCATTATTATATTAGTTGTTTTCTAACCTTTTTTTTTCTTAATTGTCTTTTAAAATTGAACTGTTTTTAGTTTCTATAATAACTTATAAAATATGATTTTAATCTTTTTGTACAAATATCTTATACTTATATGTTATCAAAATGAATATGAAGGGAAAAAAGTATGATTAGATATTTTATAATAAAACAGCCAAATTAAAATAAAATATAATATAAACAACTTGTAGTTATTAGTAGTATAAGTAAAATCTTTAATAGTATTTTGGATAGAGAAAAATTATAAAATAAATTTGAAGTTTAGAAAATCAAAAGCAAATTTATCCAAAATTATGTAACATGTTTATACAATTTTTTTTGTTTAATGCTAGCATTGCTTCTAATTCTAATATATTAAGCACTAATCACTCATTCCTTAATAAAAATCACCCAACTGCTTTGGAGCAACCATAAGTAGATACGTTGGATGCATGGTACGTTGAAAAGCATAGGTGAGTTGTGAACCATGAACAGTGGTTTTGTCAGTCTTCGAATTTCAAAATCTTAGAAAATAAAGCTTCAATAGTTGTAAGTTGAATATAACACAAGATGACCAATAAAAGCTTTGAAATATGTATACTTTTACTTTCCAGAGGTACAAACCAATAAAAGCTTTGAAACTAAGCAGCATCTGAAATGAAACTTGCGTCATAAAAGGCATTAACTGACACTATTACCATTTTTAGTTTGAACTGTAACAGAGTGTACAAGAAAAAAGACGTGTGAACATTGCCAATTTTTCCACATATGCATTTGAAATAAAAAAGAAAAGAAAAGTTGTAAACATGAAGAAGGAATTTATAGTATTCATTTCATTGTGTTAGTCCCATTGCAACTTTGTCTGAATAGTTTCAATTGGGTCTACCGAGAAACTTGGACGGATTTGTGAAGGTAAAATTTGTTACATATAATTTTTTAAAGAGTAAAACATGTGTTTAGCTTTTATAAATAAATACGATACGATTTGATTTTAATATCTCAAAATTAACTGCCTCATCTACAAAAACACGTCGAATGTCATAAATGTGATTTGTCGAGATTTGTTCGGATATGTTTAAACAGAAATATTTAAATTCCAAATTTATACTCGCGGAAAGATATAGCATTAATTAAGAAATTAAAATTGACTATATAAGCGAAATATTTAAACTAAGAGTGCAAAATAAGAACATTTTGGGAGGTTGCTAAGCAAATATAGGATTTAGCAATAATGTGGAAATATGAATAGAATATTTTGAAATTTTACTTTCATTAAAAAATTCAAACCAATGATACACTAGCAAAATTTGTGCTCAGACTACATTTCCGAAAACGATCCGGGAACAGCTCAAAAAGGGGGGAATGTTAATGTACACTAGAGCGAACAAACAATGAGCTAGCCACAAACCATGATGACTTTTCCACAAGCTTCCGAGAAGGCATGCTGTAGATGAAACCAATGAAAATAACAGCAGAAAAGAAGCATATTTTCGCAACCCCTGAGATTTAGGATATGTGTGTTTTGAATTTGAAGAGCCGTATCATGCTGAAATAAAACTTCAGCGCCAGCAAATAATGGACGCTTCTTCACAGTTGAGCTATCCGCTGTTTCATAGACTGTAACAAATTCAATTTTGAGGCACAGATGGCTGAAAATTCCATCAGTACTTTTAGCTTCCCAGTCATCATTTTCATGGGAACATCAGCAGGACTCCAAGACTTGAGAGGTGGGGAGAGATGATCACCAAGTTCAACGTCGTCCACAGAGGAAATAAATGTTTCTAACGTGCGAAAGACCTTCCCCGGACCATCATTATGCCCTTCTTTCTTAAGAAGAAAAAAAATGTTCTCCAAATTCTCATCTTCAAGTTTTCTCCTCCATTCACTAATCCATTTCATAACGTCCTCCAATACATGAGATAAATGCACCACAGAGTCTGTTATCGCATGAGCCATATTTGAGCTAGACTGATAAGCTGATCCACTTTTCTTTTTCTTTTTACCAGACGGAAAGCAGGATCTCAAACAAGATTGGATTACAAGTCCATGCCACGCCAAAGGTTCTGTAACTAACTGCATCAGAAGTTCAATACCACTCCAAGGAGAGCAGAGCTGAGGCTCTATGGACCTAATCTTCTCTAAAATATACTTTTCCAGCAAATAATCTACGATATTCCAAATTCGAGGCCTACATCCATCTCCATCTGGATCCACAAAAGTATTGGAACTCAAGCTCCAAGCATTTAAAAATACAGTGAAATTCAACCAGTCAATCAAGCTGGAGTCAGAAACCTGCAACATTTTTTAAGAGATGGATCAAATTTCATGTAGCACCCAAGTAGGATATTTTCATGCAGAAAAAGTAACTTGAGACACGTCCTAAACAGTTGCAAAATTGTTCAAGGAAACGCCTCACACTGCAAGTACTATAATAAACTGCAAATTCATTTTAAATAAAGCTCATTTTTCTGTGCCAACACATCTACTTTACAGGCATCATTTTCTGTATTATTAATATAAATAATGTCTTTCCAATTCACTTCTTAATTCTGAAATATCTTTATATCATGGTACAGTTATGCCAGTTCAGCTCCTGATAGGAAAAATAATCAGGTAGAATTTGTATTCATGTGGGTATGACATACTAAAACATCAAAATGTTGAACAGTAGCATAAAAACTTAACATTCGTACCACACCAGATCTTTCTTCATTAGAGAAACCCATGACCGCTTCTATTGCTTCAGAGAGAGGAAAACCCAAAAATTGTGCATAGCGCTCCAGTAACAACTTTAGCTCTGACGTGACATCTGGGGTAGCAGAACCATTGAGCTCAGCATGCTCCTTGATTGATGCTGAAGCACTTTGAATCGAAAGATAGATCATCCGTGGAATTAGTGATTTCTTTTCAATGACTCTCTTTAAACTTGTTTCCCTATCTTTGGTCTACAGCCATTGACAAACCATGCAATAAAGGGGGGGAAAAGAAAAAGACCCATATAGATAGTTTAGTTTTTACTGAAACAAGAGGCATAAATCAGCCACAAATCATGAAGGGCGGTATTGACCTACCAATATTTCTTTAGGATAATAAGAAATCCCTTCAAATGGTCCTGAAACAGAAGGCAACCATCCATTAAGTATAGCAATCAACAAACATAGATACAATAGAAAATAATACCAGATTATAATCTGATGTCCAAACCATGATTTGGAACTTTATTTAGCCAGTTATTCTAAGTTGACTATTTACTCGAGGCATAAGTCTGTCCAATCATTCTAAGTTGACTATTTACTCGAGGAAATCAAGTTAATAAACAACTTAATATTAAGTTGAATGATTTGTCATGTAAACAACATACACCGCAACAAGTATCAAATAAGCTTTCATTAGCTTATATTCAAGGTAAGACGTCAAATTAATATCCATTAACTGTGACACATACTTTGCGGATTCATATTTGTTTAATATACTGATGACAAAAGTTGCACGACTACAACAACCTTCTCTAGAAATATGATGGAAAAACTAACCTAAAAGGTAATTTTTCTCGGAAGTTGGTGTCCACCAGGGCCGTGACAGCAAGTCTTCATTGAAGGTCAAAGACTTTGACCCTACCTCCATAGACAGCTCAAGGAAGTGAGTACCACATTTCAAGCCTTGAAGGACATCCTGAGAAAATATGAACTGGTTAAACCTACCACTCAAATTTATTGAGAGGTGATAAAATATACCAGTTTCAAATGATGTCACCTCTTCTTCTTCAATGTTATCTGCACTCTGTTTTAGTTGTAAAATGGATGATTCAACTCGAGCCACTATATACTGACCAGAGTGTTGCAACCTATCTTTAAACTCGACAAATTCAATTACCTGGAATATAACATTGCATAAATTCAGTAAACTCCATGACATGGTTCTTTCAACATTACATGAAACTGACATTAACAGAAAATTATCATACAATGTGTACATCTTTGTTTTACACTTTCACGAGCAGAACCATGTCAATCAAACTATAAACCACATGCACTATTATATTCTGCGTATGTCAATCCATTAAGAATACAACAAAACATGGTCAAATATTGACTTCATTACAACAAGGTTGAGCAGAGATTAATAAATTAATTAATTTAAATTTCTTTAATGTTTGAATGGCATGGACAATATAAAAATAACATTCATGTGTGCATGTTTTCAAGTAATAAAAAAACAACAGAAATAAATAAAATATTAAAATAACAGCTAAAAAGAACAGAAATAGTAATAAAAGAAAAAAAAAAATACAATACTCTTCTCTGTAAAAGTATTAGAAAAAACAGTATTGAACAAAGCAGCAAGCACTAAAAAATAGAACTGAAAGTACATTAAAAAACACGGCTCAAATAATCTAAACGGAACTGAATTTAAAAATAAATAAAATTAGAATGAAAAAAATACTACCCTTTCCTGTATAAGTATTGGCTAGAACCAACATTGAACAAAGCAGCCAAGTATTAAGAAATAGGCTTTAAAATAAATCCAAAAAATAGTACTCAAATAATCTAAAGAAAGAAGCAACTGAAAACAGGAATTAGATAATACATTTTGAAAAAAGAGCAATATAAGTATTGGGCAAAACATAATTGAATAAACAATAAAGAAAAACAAGTATCGTTCCCCTTTTTGAAAAGAAAATTTTCTGCCATAGGTGCCACCATTTGAAATCTGCCATACCACCAACATATCATGGAGGTCTGTTAAAAACCTTGGATCAATTATGCACACAAAGCAAATCTAATAAAAATTGTTAAAGAATATTCAACCGTTTTGTGTTTCATATCTTTTTTTCCTTTGGGAAGGGGGCACTCGAGGGGGATGATGATTTTATAATATTTAAATAGTGTAACCAAGCAAAGATTATCAAAACAGTTATGCATGAAGGAATCTTTAAAAAGAAAATTGGCTTGCAATTGCAACTTTATGCATCCATATGATCCAGGTAATTCAACTTAAAAAGGACAGTCTCTGGAAACAATGAGAATTCAGTACACATACTTTTAAGTAATTTCTATGTCGATATGCAAGAAATGTTAAGTCTGCAGATTCTCTGAAGTGGTCATCCATAAACTTCAGATAATCTTTTAGCAGATTGTTTAACTCAGTCCAAAGTGGAGATACCAACATCTGAGGCAATATGTGGTGCAAAATACTCTCCATCAAAATATTTTTTACATCCAGGGTCTTGTACCTGAACAGAAGAAAAATATGCTTTACATAGGATAGAGGCAAGAAATTAGTCATAGGAGCTGAAATACATGTGCATAAACCAATCAGCATGACAGAAAATTTATGAAAAATGTAAAATTAAAATTGAATACCATACCATTCATGCGCCACAGGAAGAGCACCACAGTAGGTATACAAATGCAACAGCAAGATCTTATATTGTGATACATATCTGATTAAAGACAAAGAGGGTTTAGTAAGAAACTGAGAAAGTCAACAATCACCTGTACCATTGCAAATGCAACATCCACAGGTTCAGAAGTCAAAATCTAGCATGTACCAATAGCTAACCTTTGCAGTGATAAACTCAATCCTTCTAATACAAGAAATAATAGAATTGAGACAGTTTTCTAATTTAAAAAGGAAATAAAGAAAAAAAACATAGTAATACTAATTTGAAAATTGAGACAAATCCTAGAAATGTTGATATTAAATTGTAAATGATTAAGCTGAGCCTATATAAAAAAAAAATTCACCCATGATATGGTTGCAATTTGCACTTTCCTATGTGATAGTTCACAAATGCACAACATAATAAGATTACAGTATTGTGAAAGGGTAAAAAACTAGTGTAATAACATATAAAGGCACAATAATGAACTGGCCACATATATCCCAAGAACACAACTCCAATGAAATGTTTCCTCAACTTAATACATTTTTCATGTGAGATTTCATTATATAAGGCAAAACAATTATCCCAACCTTCGTATTGCCAAGCCGAACTCCAAAACCATAATTGCCTCTACCAAATAGCCAAAATTCTTAGTACGCCAGAATAACTATACAAATGATATCAGAAGAGGTGAACAGTGGTCAGAAGATTGTATAAATATTTGGAATGTTAATTAGCTGACGTATATTTCTAAAGCAGAACAATGAGTAGCAATGTTACAAATATATCACAATAGAATCTTACAATTCTAAAGCATAATAGAATTTAAATTTAGAAACAATTAGAATTCTTATTTGGTTTTAGAAACTAAAAAAATTAGAATTTTAAACTCTCTTACCACAGTTAATTACATTATTTTTACAAAATAAAAAATTATAGAAGGAATAAAAACTCGAGGTTAAAATGACTACCATATGAGAAAACTCTTAAAAGTTAAAACCAATTTAAATGTCTATATTGAGCATATAGGCCCAATATCAGTCCCTAGTACCAAAGTTACAATTGGATTTCTTTTTAATAAAAGAAATATCAGTAAAGAAAAATAGTGAGTTACAACTTACAAGAGCAGGGGATGAAATATGAATTTAATAAAAGAAAAAGACAGAAAAATTTGACAAATCATTTCTGCTATAAGACTTTGATAAAACAAATAAGAAATAGCTGGTCAATCATTCTGCTTATTCTACATGGACACTGACAACCTTAACACCTAAGCATTAGATCTCTTTGTATGTCTCCCTCCCACTTCAGCACTCCCTGTCCCCACCCAAAAATACTAGGAAAATATTCAACCAAAAGAATTAAACTCATAAGAAGAATAGAATACCTTCAATGTTTTAAACATGCAATACAATAAAGAAATTTAATATAACATACCTGGACCAAAATGTTACATGTCATTGAAAGCAGCTCCTCACCATGCATGCCCTCCTGTGGATCCAAATTTTTTGAAAGTGGAAGGTTTGTGCAATACATTTCAAACATTTGAACACAAGAGACCTCAAGATCTGAGACATATTTGGAAGAGGTTGTATTCATTACATTAACATTCAAAATATGGAAGCATAGACTAAGACCTACAAGACAAGCTATGAGCTCAAATCTGGAGAAGATTGTTTCCACTGACACAACCAAAAAAGAAAAGAAAAATATCGGAATGAAATAATTAAGAAGGAGCCATTATGCTAGTGTGATAAAAGATGCACAACATGGAGATCAACTTCAACAAATATTATGATTTAATCAAAAGATATGAACAAGCTTGGAAGTCAACTAAACCAACTACACAGTCATCCTGTGCTCTGCATTGGCAGGAAAAACAAGCCAGCAGGCCTGTACTTTTAAAATGCAAAAGAAAAGTAAGAAGACGAGGTAACACATGGAACACAAAGAGGTAGTATGACAGATTTGATAATACTACTGATAATAACTTAATTTTATATATCTTAGAGAGATACTAAAACTGTTAACTGCATATCATGTGTATCAAACAATAATTTCTCCTGTTCAACAAAACAATCATTTGAGCTAGAGGATCAAATACATGCTCACTCAGCCTTAAGCTGGAATTATAATTTAATTAAAGGATGATGGACAAAAGGTTTTAATACTGAAAGACTAACTTCCCTAAAAGCTTAGTTCATAAGGTGAGAGAACCAGAATTAAGAGGAGAAAATTTTAAAACATTAATCCATATTAGTTAGTATGCAACAATTTGACACCCACCACTTGCACAAGATGCTGAGATGTCTCCTAGCAATAATTGTTTGATTTTGAAAAAGCTTATAGACAGCCCAAGTGCCTTGGTTGGTGGAGCTGATAAAGTGTCATAGGTTTTCATTAAAATCTCCAAGAGTTCTGTCCTCTTATCAGCGGTGAGCACTTCAACAAACATCTCAACATCGAAAGTAAAGCAGCCCAAGTGACCAAACCTACGAAAAAGGAAAATTCTTACACAAACAATTGTAAAACTGAACTTTTACAAGCATTACCTTAAAGTAAAAGGGACCAATTCACTAAAGCATAAAATACAGACAGTTCAAACTAACATTGAAAATCACATGTTACAACCTACTAGAAAGTAGGAAATGGCACAAAATTGAAACATATCTTCAAACAGAATAAAAGTAGACAGGAAGAAACAAAAAAACAGTTTTCCCTCAAACAAATAGATCCGAACCCATAAAACTAAATTTCATATTCTATTGGACTTTTCCCCCAGTAGCATCAGTCAATATCTAATGTCACCATCTCGTAAAGCACTTTACATGCCTGATATTCAAGAAGAGCATTATGAGATTATAGGAATAATAACTTGTGCACCATAAGGTACCTGCAAAAGTATTGCACAATGCCATCCATTACATTGTCATCATTTCCCTTCCCCCGTAAATGCTTTCTTCGCTCAATTTCTATAGTTGCCAGGTATGGACACCTTATCAAGTTATTAACAGTATCTGCTTGCAACTTCTGTACACATGCTGATGCAATTGATATTTGACTGTCAAACTGCATTCATATAGTTGTTTGTAATTATACAAGAATCAAATTCTCTGAAAATATTCAATGATCCCTCTATGCAAAAATTGTTGTCATAAAGAAAGGCCACCATAGACATTCACCTGTTCCTCTGTCAAGTGTGAGACTTTGCAATTGACAAACTTTGGAGGATGAACTGGGTCATTAACAGCCTCATCACACCAAATACTGTCATCTTCTAGCAAACAGCCTAGGTAATGAAGGAAACCCTTCCAGTCATCTGGGCTGCCAATGATGAAACAAAAATTTCAATGAAAAAAAAAAAAAAAAAACTGGAGAATAAAAGTAAAAAATGCAGAAAGAAAACTGAGTTTAATTCAGGAAACAAGCATGTTAAAATCACTTCATAACTACATTCGCAATTTAGCTAAGCATAAAACACAGATTAAGAAACAGTTTACAATTTTTGTGCCACAATTGAAAATTAAGATCATGGAAACAGAAAAAAAAAATAGTAATCAAGTATGCTTCATAAGACAGCGACATAGTAAGAGTTCAGCTTCTTGACAGCAGTCAAGCTTTGGGACTTTTGTCGCCTATATACCATAGGCATTCAGCAATTAAGACCCTGCCTTCCTACTACTAGTTCATAACTTTATAACTAAAGACCTGGCTGACAATAAATATAAACCTATATAAAAGTACAGAATTACCAAATAAACAGAACAGCTAAAATAGTTAAAATCGTTATCCAAAATTCAATTTTTAGCACACTTTAAACACATTTTGTAAAAAATACTCTTGATACAACCAAGACCACTTTTATTCATTAACAAAAACTGCCACCAGTGAACAATCTAAATTTTTGAATTTTTTTTGTCTTAACAATAAGTTGGCATATCCCAGGCATACCATGACTCTAGAATTTTGTGAAAGATATCAGCCGCAGCAGTGTAGTCCCCTGCCCGAGCCAGAAGTCTCCCCTGTCAACTTAAAGTCAAAGCATAGAGGTTGATAAGAGAAGTCAAATACGAAAAAAGACACTTTTGATTCCTGTTGTTTTTGCTACTTTATAAAAGTGTGACAATACTGAAATTGGAAGGACCTAAAGGATAAAGGAGGATACTGAAGCACCACATAAAGCCATGAAAACAAACCCAGTACAAAGCAAGTTAATTTTTCCTTTAGCTTGATTCACTTAATTTATCCTTCAATACAACTAAATCGGTACAAAAGACTGATTCTTATGGTGTTATTCCAGTACAGAATACTCTGGTATTTTTATGTCCATTTAGACAATACATTTAGAAAAGCTCTGACTCCTTATGTGTGTGTGATTTGTTTCTTTAATTAAGAACTGAGCATTTTTTTCTATCCTTGAAAAAGATGCACTTCCAATAGTAAACTATAGTTTGAGTCTAAAAATGCACTTCTGTACAGATTTTAATTTCTGAATAGGCATTTGAAAAAGAATTTCCCTTGAAATATCAATTTTCAAATATTAAATCAAGATAATACTGCACAGAATGGAACATTTTCCATTAACTATGGAACATAGAAATTTATGTGATTATGACTTTCCCCTTAATTTAACTGGATGAGCATTTATACTCAACCAACAATGTACGAAATTCAGAAGTTAAACACTAAACAGAAATTAGAAGTCAGGAAGAAAACTATTGAGATTACCTGCATCCATAGCTTATCAACTTCAATCATCAACAATGATCCCAATTTCCCAGAAAGGATTTCCAAAGCATCCCCAAACTTAGCTTGTCGTTCCAATATAGAAATGTAGATCATAAGAGCTGCAGTCAATTTTGAAAATTTAAAACACGTACATATGGTATATTTGATGACATGATAACGTATGATGGTTGATCCTAATAGATAAGAAAGAATATATGTAGGAGATTCCTCTTCAAGAAAGGGGTTTCTCATGTCCTTTTTGTCTTTCTTCTGAACGCAAATTAGTGTTCATTCAGGATTCTATTATTTCTTGAAAATATCACTTTTTGTTACTTAAATGATAAAGAATCCTTTGAGTTAAAGTCCATTTTGAGTCTTCTTGACTTTGTTATACTATCCTCTGATCCAGGTTAAAAGGATCTGGTCTCTTGAGCCTTCTATGGTTTCATATTGAAAATCATACATCCAGAGTGGGAAGTCTACAGCTCCATCTTGATAAACCTATTTGAAAGTCTAAAGCTCCTTTTATCTATGTTAGAATCCTATAGATATGATATTAAGATCAAATTATATATTAGGATCAATTAGATTGATTCTATATTTATGTTATTAGCCTAAAATAGAGAAACTGAATATTCTCTAATTATGCTGTAATTATAATGTCCCTACAAGTTGAATAGTTCTGTTGTGCTCGAAACATGTGGAATTTATCATATGCCTTCTCAGTTTCTTTCTTCTCAACAATCTAGATGATTTTTTTTTTATCAAAATAACTAATAGCATTAGCAGAAAAGGAAAAAATAAGATCACCTTCTGGCTCATGTAAGCTATGTGAAGCAACATGTTTCTTAAGTAAGCCTTCAGCTAAAAATAAAAGTTTGTCTTCTCCACTGCCGCAAAGTACCTATGAATAGCCCAGTTCCCATAAAATAAGTAAACAAAATATTTTTTTAGACAAAATCAATACCAAGCCCAACACGAATAATAATTTAATATATCTGAAAGAAAAACAGAAACAATGTCACATTAATGAACTATAGTTGATAATTTCATAAGAAATCTAGAAGCATAAGGCATGACATGTTTCAAAGCCAAGTTACAAACAAGTAGCACTATGGCGTTTAGAAATTTCCTTAATGTTATCCAACAAATATCAATATCAACTACAAGCTCCTAACTCAAGACAATCTTATTGCAACATAATAAATCTAATGAATGAGATTGATGGTTGTAGCTTCAAAGAACTTTACTCAGATATTATTTGCAATCCAGGAAATGCAATATGACTAAATTTATAACTGAATCATCATTCACAACTGTGAATGACGCATGCTTAAACAGTTTCATCATGAATGAGACAAAAACTTGAACCTGAAACCAGATCAAACTGTTGAGATGCTGCAATCAGCAGCAGCATTGATCTGGGGTCTGGTGACGGACAGTCCTTGACATCAACACAAGCTTCAAGTAAAATATCTTCTAAAAACTATATTATTTTCATGTAAAGGAGTTGTGTAAATATGTCTGGTGCAAATTACAAATCTTATGCATTACATAACTTTTCTTCCCTAGAGTTTGCATGTTCATTGAACAATTATGTACTGACAACTGAGCAGCAAAGAATACTAAACTTACTACTAATGTATTGGCAGTAATCACGACATCCTAAATATACTTAACTTCCACTTTCTTATTTATCCGTTATATCATGACATTCACTTTCAGGACATGTTTATTCCTTTTAAACTGATACTGCAATGAAATAAACACTTATAATAGATACTGCAAAAGGTAATCAAGGGGGTTAAAAGATGAACTGGGGAGAACCTGTAATTGGATGCTACAAACTGCCCAAAGAAGAAACCTTTCTTCTCCAGCAAGCTTGTACATTTTGATAGCTGTCTGCCAATTAAACAATAGCAAAACATTAAGTTGTAAAAATAAATAAAACATAATCAGACATCCACATATATAAACACAAACCTGTTGCTGCTTCACAAATGAATACTCTCGAACATAGCAGTTAAACAGCCCCGTCATCAGTTCCAAGTTACCCGGGTATTTACTACAGGCATGTTCATAACACGCGGTAGCCAAATCCACTGCTCAAACACAAACTCTAGTCAGCCAAAACAGACATAACCATGTTTATTTGTTAGGCTTAAACATGTTCCTATTCCATGTAATCTATCCACTTCTCCATTTTCGCTTTTACCTTTTTTTTTTCATTAATCCCTGCATTATTCTCCATTGTTACCTAGTTGTTTCAGAGACTATATAATTTCTATTTTATTTCCGCTAATAAATCTAGTACTTATTATTTGAGTCCCGGACAATTTCTAGGCATATCGGGTTTAACACAACTAAACAACGGCATGGACTAACAGACAAAAATTTGAACCTTACAGGGATTATTAAAACATAGTTTTAAAAGGACTAAAATCAAAAGGTAGTAGTTTTAAAAGGACTAAAATCAAAAGGTAGTAGTTTTAAAAGGACTAAAATCAAAAGGTAGGTATATTACAAGCACTACGAGCAAATTTAAGGCTATTTATTACGAAGCATCAAATTAGTAAGTTGAACTAACAAAACAATATCTCGAAGCTCATGCTAGTTCAATCTCTAATTTCGATTTTAAAACAATGCATGGAAAAAAAAGCATCGTATCAGCAATAAGCAAAATAAACAAATAAAAGATCCTAACAGTGATCCAATCGCTGAAACACAATCTGTAACGTGCTGAGCGTAAGATCGTCCATCAGCAGAGGTTCGTTCAAGTAGAGGAGGTCCTTCGCGTCGAGCGCGACGGTGAAGGCCTCGTCAGGCTTCCCCATCCGTTCCAGCACGAGCGCTTTGAGAGCCTGATTGGAAAAGCAGAAGCACGAAAACAACGTGAATTGGAAAGTAACATAGAATGAATGCAGTGAGGCTGGGAATTAGGGTTCTTACATAAGCGTAGGGGGAACTAGGGTGCTTCGCCAGGAGCGTGGTGACGTGCTTGAGAGCGTTCTTGAACTGGCGAGAATCAATGGCGTCCCATATCGGACGAACCTTGCGCTCCGGAATGCCACCGGCGAAGCCGAACTTAGTCGCCATTATAAATAATAGAAGGTTCCAGAAAGTGAGTTAGTGATGGTTTCTACTTCGTCCAATCGTCGCGAACAACGCAGAGAGAGAGAGAGAGAGTGAGAGAGTATCTTGTATCTCAAAGTGTAAGACCTAACCTAAAAAGAAAGAGAGGAACCGAAACTGAAACACTGGGGTTGGGTTCCATCGGGTTTACCCTTCGCCATCGTCTAACCCAATAAAAATATTTTGGTTTGGGTTGGTGTTTTTCTTATTATTTTTTATTCGACTCAAATTAAATTTTTTTTTGTTAAGTTAAATTGGGTCGATTTAATTAGGTTGTAATTGAAAAAAATAATTATTTTTATTTTTAATATTTTTAGAATAAAATTTTAAAATTAACTTAAATTATTTATTATTTGAATATAATATTTAAAATTACATATTGAATTAATATAATAATTAAATAAATAAAGGAATAATTATATTATTATTAATAATAATATTATCTCATATTAATAATCAAAATTGTATATTAATGAAAATAAAAAACATGTTTTATCCCATTTTCATTTTTCTCTTTAAATTTAAAAACTTATAACTATTTTTTGAAAGTCCTTGAGTTGGAGTAAGTGGAAATATTTTGGTAAACTAAAAATATATAAGTATAGCTGGATTTGGATGTTGATTAAGAGGAGATTTATGAATCTATAGGTCATTCACATAGGGGCGGTGAAGGGAGGTGCCAAAAGAAGCTACAACTCTTTGGGGTTTCCTACAATTTTGATTTAGAGTTTATTATGTTACAATTGAAGTCTTTAAAAATAAAGTAAGTTTATTATATTATTAATCTAATAAGTTTATTCATAATTATATTTATTTCATATTATTGTACATATATATTATATAACATAATAAATTATTTATTTAAATATTAATTGTAATAAAGTACTCAATCAAGGTATAATTTATTTAATAACCTTATAAGTTTGATCTTTTATGTTGACCAATATTTAATGATCAACAATCCTTGAGATTAAACTTCCTTTTGAACTAAATAGGTATTTATAAAAACCTAAAAAATCTAACTTAGTTTTGACCTTTTTTACGTGGTTTATTTTTTACCGTATGTTTTGTTATTATGGTAATATATTTTGTCCTTTCACTCATTATTTTGCGAGTGGCATGAACAGTTTTTGAAATGGGCTGAAAGAACCCAAATTGATTTTTATTATTTTGAATTTTCCTTATGGGCCTACAAACCTATCCCATAATGAATTTAACTTGATTTCAGTTTAGACTTCAAAGTGGCCTAATTTGAATAAAAAAAAACTAAATAAAAACAAGGTAAAAACTAAAAAGAAACACATTTCCTAGCTATAAGGAAAGGAAAAAAAAAAAAAAAGAGAGTAAAATATTATAAATAATCGTTTGATGACGTGTAACTTTTTATGAAAAAAAAAATTATTAATAAGAAAAGCTTAAAGTGAGCGCACCACACAAAATTACAAACATAACAGTAAAAAAGCAATCCCCGACCACCTTAATACCAGCCCAAACCACATAAGCTTGGTGTATATAAAATATGATAAAATAAATTACATGACTTAAGAAGGTTTTATCGAATTAAAATATTTTTTAATATTATATTATCTATTTTTAAAGTATTTTTTTTAACATATTTTTAGTAAATTCTAATATAGTAAGGAGTGAATAAAATAAAAATTATAAAGAAAAAAATAAGAAAAAATATATATAACAGTAAAGTGTAAATCTAAAATCATAAAAGTATAAATAATTTAGAATTGGAGTTATGACGTTTCAATTTTCAAAAAATCCGTACTGTATTTGAGAGTGATTTATAAAATTTATTCGTTGAGTTTATATATGTATATATTGGATTGAAAAGTCTCAATCCAACTCCATCATAGTGAATCGTAAATTAAAATAGATTTAACAACCACATCTTTGAACAAAAGTATAAAAATTATGAAACCAGATGACTTATAAGTTGACTTGAAAAATAAACCAAGTGACCATAAATAATGTAAATATATTTCTAAATCATTTTAACCCCAATGTATTTTTTAGAATTATCATAATGAGTTGAACAAATAAAATAAAACAATATCTAATCAAACAATCTATTAAAACATTTCACAATAAAAGAGGCTTAATCTACCATCTATTTCAACCTACTATTTGATTTAGGAAAACATGCAAATTCATTTATTTATTGTCACTATAGTTGTACAGATAATAACAAAAATATTTACAAATAACTATTATTCATAATTATAAATATTTTATTATTTGATTTATGTAATCTATAATCAAAGAGATCAAAATATTTGTTAATTTATTATTAGAAAAATAAATTAATTTCATTTGGGAGATGAGATAATTTCTTAGTAAAAAAATCATAGTTAATTTTAACTGGTAAAATAAATTCATCAACTAATTTAATTTTTCTGTTGGCATGAACAACGAGGGACTCTAATGAATTAACGTTAACTTGTTTAGTTTCTTTCACGGGTTTCTCTTTGATCCATTAAACCAGATACTAATCGTATTTGTGGGATTATTATGATTGTAGTTATTCAATAAATTTTGTATACAATAAAAATTGAACACGATATTCTTATTACATATTGTTTCTGATGAAATTTTGATCGATTCCAATTCTTAAGAGATTTTGTTCTAACCAAAACTCAACCACGCAAGTTCTTTTTATTTAGGCTAGCAAGTGTTTTTTTCAATCGAGATGCATATGAGAATCGAAAATATCACAATATCGAGAAAATCCCACTAACGTGTCACAACTTATCGAAAGCACTATTTTTGGTATTTTGTTTTTTGAAATACTCGAAATAAGGAAAACAGCGAAATGACAAATTGAAAAGTAGGATAGAATATAAAGCTACGAAGAAATATTAAATTTCAGAGAATGTAAAGTACGGAAACCTCGAAATTGCATTAAGTGTAAATGACATGAAATCGAAAATACAGAAACTTAAATGACAGGAAATCGAAATTACAGAAGTGTAAATGATAAGAAATCGAAATACGCAGAAAAAGTAAATAACTGGAAATCGAATTTGCATCGAAGTTTAAAGGACAGGAAATTTAAATGCAGAAAACTTAACTTCCATTAAACTGAAATTGACCGAAAATCGAAAACACAGAAACTTAAAGTTGCTAAACATAAAATGCATCAAAGTAAATTACCAAGGAAAATAAAGAAAGCGGTAAAGGTACTCAATGAGCACGGAAATCCAGATCGCCAGGAACTTCATGATGTTCGTCGTTCTCCGGTAGACTTCTCACTAATATTCCGGTTCTCTCTGCCAATTTTCCACGCTCCCTTTTCCTTTCATCCTTCGCCCTATTTATAGAGCATCCTTTAAGCAAGTAACCTCTTAGGAGCAGTTAATGAAAACTACTACCACGTCCTACATGCCTGTTGCAGTTTCTTCTTCGGTGTCAAAACTGCACCCACGTTCCCATGATCTTCGACCTCTGCCATGGTTTAAAAACTGCTTTCACGTTCCCATACATGAGGTAACTGCTTCTTTGACCTTGGACCTTTGCCATTGCTTGCCATGTTTGATGTACACGTTAATTGTTTCTTTCTTTATAACTTAGCCGGGATTTCGATACATGGGTTAACCTTTCTCCGATGTTAATTTCGGAATCTCGAGAACGTTTGACTTGCCTTTGATTTCTCTTAATCTTAACATTACATAATTCTGATTTCTCGATTTCATTCACTAACGGATATTAAACATTCATCCTTCGATTCTCGATTCAAATTCTCGCTTATATTGTCACATGGTCGTCGAACGCATTTTCCAGCTATCTTTCGATTTATCAGTCTTTAACTCAATAAAAAAGGGTTCTCGATTTGCTCCCATTTGTTTCTCGATCCCTTTATCGATTTCCCACTAACAAAATGCCCCCTTGGAAGAATATAAATAGTTTCTGTTTATATTCTTTCAACATGATTTCCGCCTTCGCGTGTTGGATGCCCACAATAACTTAGGTTTTAGGGTTTCTGGGGTTTCTTTTTGCTTTATGTCACCATCACCTCAGTCCGCTGCCTTGCTGTACACACCGCATTAATTGCCCTTTGCCTCTACCGTTTACAGTACCCTAGGTAGTTTGCCTTTAAGCCTTTCGTTGGTCTTTTACCCTGGTTTTTTACGCGAACTTTTACTCCTTACAATCTTCATCTTCTACCTTGTGCTTCTGTCTTTCAACCTTACTACTTCGCCTTTTGCCCTCTGTTCCTCCATTCTACCAGCTTCTTGAAATGACAACCTCATCCAAATCTTCTGACTTTTCAGCCCCACCCCTTCCCTCGTTGGCGTCTAGCCTTCTGGAGATCAACAATCAGAAGTTTGCTCCAGTTTCTTTAATGGAGGAAGCTTCTCAGAAAGTCGTTGAGACGCAGGTACTCATCCCTTATTCTGCTGATGGTATAAATTTTGCTTTTGGGGGTCCTATTCGTTCTAGTGGTGGGACATTTTCATCCCTCAACCTCTCGAATAGCCAGACTCTTATTCACCAAGCTGAAGTTCGGATTGATTTTTTGAATATGGTTTCTAAAGTATATCGAACGGGTCCCCCTTTCAAAAAACCCTCGTATATTAGGTGATTTGATCGAGTGGAAACCAAGTTTGGGAACCATTGGAGGGATGTGGGGATTTTTGATTTCTTGCATTTGTCTCGATGCGACTTGTCTCATTTAGATATGGCTATGTTTTTATCTGTTGTGCATCTATGGAATAAGGACTTGCATGCTTTGGAGTTACCTTGTGGTCCCTATTCGCCCACCCTCTTTGAGATTGCTGCTATTACCGGTTTGAAACCCACCGGGGAAAAGTATTATAAGGATACTTACCCTTCGGATAATTCCCTAAGGTCCAAAGTCGATTGGGAATCGAAAGCTTATGACCACTTTCTCGAGAAACATTTTATCGATGACCCAACAATTGTCGTTTCTGATGAGGAGCATGTGGCCTTCTTGG